GTCGCCGTGCAAAATACCTTCGGGAGAATACCTTCTACATGGCACTATTTGATGAAACCGAAACGTAACGATTGACACGACCATACCCACCCCATTACCGGGAAATACAGAACGGGTCGGGAGAAAAGAAACGTCAACTTCGGGTCGAGCTTCGATTTCCTTTTTTGGGCAGAAAGACCAGCCGAAGTCGGCCATTGTCTTCAAACGTATTTCTCGTTCCTTGGGGCTGTCGCATGTTGCTGAATCTATTATTTTTTTGTTTCTGGCGAGGGAAACAACAACAACAACCCACCAAGCCTTCATGAGCACTTAACCGAAAGCTCGGTGTGGCCAACGTTGGAAGCTGTGGCAGTACAGCAGTACAGCAGCATTGGGTAGCGCAGCCCACGGCGGCGTTATGACACGGGGGGCGCCGGGAAAAAGATCACTGTCGCCCCCCCTATGTAAGAATTATACGACATGAGCTATCGGTAGGGGTTGGGAGCTTGGCAGCAGCAGCAGCAGTGGAACATTTCTTGTTGGACACGCTCCCGCAGCTACCCCTTTGTTTTTCTTGACGGTATCGCACGATCGTGTTTCCTATGGAGGCATTTGTTCTGTTGTAATCGAGAATGAGCTGCGTTACTTAGCCCTTTCCCCTATTTTTCGTAAACATTTTGAGCTTTTTGTCTTCAACAGAATTTTTCTTAGTTGCGGGGCCGTTCTGCAACTATTCAGCGCTTAGATTCCTGCGCATCGGGCACAAGTCTCACAGGCCATGGGAAACACGAATACAGACTGGAGAGGGAATAATCGCAGCGGATTACAGCAGTAGCAGCACCTGCAGCAATGACGTCACTAGCAGAAGCAGACGTTGACGTACACCCGAAAAGCCACAGCGAGAAAATCAAAGTACCCGGCACATACTTAAAACCTTCAGGACAATGTAATGTGTCGGAGAAAAACCATTCCGAAGAGAAAAATGTTCGAAATCCTACATATGCATATACCGGTCGCCCCGGTGGTCTAGTGGGTAGCCTCGCGGCCTGCTAAGGGCCAGGTCATGGGTTCGAGTCCCGACAGAGTGAGTTCTCTCTCGCTAATTAAATCCTGGTCTCCGTTGTTAGAAGCGACGCGCTGCAAAGTTGCTGATAGTAAACTTAATCGACTTCATAAGTCGCGAGGGAAGGGATTGCTGTAATCTTCTCACGACAAAAAATATTTCAGGCAGCAACAGCAGGAGGGGGTTCAACCCCCCCCTCCGATGTGACCCCGGTTGGGTCGTCTAGCTGGTAGAAGTGGAGGATAGGGGCCAGAAGGGCAGACGACAGAATCCAATGATGGGAAGAAAAAAAAAAATCAACATGCCTACTAGGTCCCCGTTTCGGGGATGTTGGGCGTGCCATCCCGGGGGTAACTTGAGGAGGAAATCATCTCCAAAGCCGTGCCGCTTGAAGAGACACCTCAACCATTTCGCACAGACCCGCAGATTGCAACCTTATGTCAATTACCTCCCAAGAACAGTCCTGAAAAGAATCGCGCATAAACGCATGGGTACATCGTGAGGCTCCTTGTAGTTGAACCAGCTGCTGTGGGTGGGTGTGTACACAATAATCACTACAGCTGTGTGGGCGCGTGGCGCGGGGCACAAAAAAGTTATGTTTTCAGTTTTCGTCTCGTTTTAGGAGGCCTTAATACGTTCGGATTCCCAACCCCTGGAAAAAGAGCTAGACCCAGCGGCTTGAGGTGGCCGTAACGCGCACAACCGTGTTTCGCAAGCCCCACACGTCTCGCTGCCATACCGACCCAAACCTCCGTAACTGCGGGTTTACAGTGTAACTGATGCCAGTAGTCACTGCTGTCGACCTGCTTTCAGGGAATTCCGGTCCGTGGCGGTGAGGATGTGACAAATGTTGGATGCCGTTTGGTTCCGGCGCAGATTTCGGACTGTTTCCAGAGACTGCTGCTACGTTAGATATTTCAGCTCCAGTAGCAAACCTGAACGTGCCGGCACGCACGACGACGCCTTTTCGTGGTGCCCTCTACTGATCACATGAGAATGCGACATGCAACCCTGGCGTTTAGATTGTACTTTCTCTTGCAGGATTCAAGTATGCGAGCAAGAGCCAGCGTCACAACCCCATTTCTGCACCAGAAATATTGGTTATCCCCTGCTGCTGTGTCCCGCGTTGTCTTATATGTCGAGTGTTCGTTCTGGACCGTTCTCTGCCCCTTGCTTGCATTTGTGCAGGACGACCGTAATGATCAAGACGAAGACGTCATGGACGATGGGGATCGTGCCCATCCTCCCAATCGTGCTACTTGCTCTTAGCGGCACCTCGGCCTCCGCCAGCTTCGCTTTCAGGGGCAGGGACGCACACAACGAGGTACTACATCGAGCATTTTATTCCTCGATTTCGCGGCCTGGCGTCTTCAAAACGGTGTAAAACCAGATGAACGGGAGCGAAAATACTTCGCCACCAGTATAGACGACAGTATTTCGGCTGTCTTCCTCTCGTTTCAGTCCTTTCTTGGCGCAAAAGCCGGGGACATACAGGATTACCAATAATAACTCGCAAGTAAGTGGCCGATGTAAAAGCGTTTTGTCGTGTGATTGGAAATATTTGTAGCCATCCTAAACGTGTGTTACAAAGCTCGTTACTGATTCGTCTATCGGACAATATTTACTCATTTTGTCGCGTGTTCACAGCGGCAACGTGCCGCGGGCCATTTCAAGTATGGCAACGCAGCGCTGTTCACTCTCGCTGTTCATATGTATGTTGTCGTAGTGTGTGTAGAGGCCTGTGCATTTCGCTCGTGGTTGCATGCGGGTTCAGGTACTTCAGGTGAGGTACTGTATCACTTTTCTCAGAAGCCACACGTAGGCAACAACGCAGTCCGTGGTGTTCGACCAGTACAATATCACTGGGGAAGCCCTATTTCGGAATTTCGACTTGTTCATGTTTACGTCTGCACTACTCTTGGAAGTTTGCATCCACACCAACGTTTGTATGGCAACCAGACGGGGTTGTCCCTGGCGCCTTGTGGAGAGGTACGTACCTGGTTGTTCATCGAAGAGGTGTATCCCGAAGAAGGCAGCGCGTCAAAGGTTTGAAAATAAACGCGGACAATGCCCTGCCTTGGACCAATGTTGATGCTACGCGCGCTGCCTCGAACCGAAGGGTACGGTTGCTTCCGTTGAAGAAAACGTCGACGCATACCTAAACCTTGCGTACTTTGATTGTTTCCGTCAACAGGGAAACCTCGAACATGTGGCCGACACCCAAACGATCAACAGCAGTGTGCGCAGCCTCCAGGCCGAAGGTGAGACCTGTGTGTGGGGAAACGCCGACAAAATGAGTGTGTAGTGCCGTGTTGGTGAAAACATAGCGACCTCCATAGGAGGAGCAACGCAAGGGCACAGTGCAAGAGTGGGAAAATTCTTAGAAAACTGGAACCATCGAGAGTGTTGAATACCCACCAGACCTTACACGTCCAACGTGATCTTATCGGACTGACAAATTGTCGACAGTACGGAACTGGAGACGCTCTTGAATATGAAAGAGGCGTTGAGACTTTTCCCGGGTAGATCAGTCGTGTCTCAGGGCCTTGGCAGGGTTGCGCCGAGGTGCTTTGGGGGTTGCGTTCATTGCGGGTGAAGGACGCCGGCGCCGATTGTTTTGGCTGCATATCGGATTTTTTTGCCAGGCCCTTCTCCGCAGACCCAACAATGCGCAAATACCGCCTTTCCTCGATCAACAAGAACATACTGTAGAAGATATGGGTGAAGCGGACACTCAATCTTGGCCTACAGCGTCACTACGACGTAAACGGTAACTTCGAATGGTACGGATCCACATTTTGTACGACAGTCCAGTGCCCAAACGTCCAGTTGAATCTGGGCCCTTGTTAAAAAGGGAACGCCTCCAACGAAATACATTCTCTGTATGGAACAAACACATTCGTGCCGAAGTTCTCGTCATTAGCTTTCGCATAAGCATATGAGCGTTTCGTTCGTCCCGTGAATAACGCTGCGGTAAGGCTTATGTTATCATTACAGGGAAGTAGCTTCACCCCAGTTATCCCACCTTCGCCATACCTTGCTGAAAGTACATGCGACCAAACTACTTACTGTTACTTGAACTCTTTCGGGGAACGTCTCCCACATGAATTACTCCGGATTTGGATTCCTTAGGAGCAAATCACTGTGGTTCCTTGCCTCCAACCATTCCTTGAGAACCAAAAAGAGTGAAAAGAACGCCCGCAGCGTTTTGTGTTGAGGTCGGATCATAGGGAACTCTGAGGGGGGTTGGGTCGAATTTCCACACATGACAAGAAACATTTCAGGAGCTAAATCCGACCCCTGAAATGTAAGCCGGTCTGTTTTATTGTCTCTACCCCAAGCGGCGGTACGTACGTACATGATGCCTGCAGTTCCGCTACCTCAAATTGAATGGAATCTGCCGCCACTCTTCGTGCTGCCCCATCTAGCTTGTCTTGTGAAATGTGCTGTGTTGCCAGCGTCACATACCTCAACAACGGGCATGGCATACAAACGAGTTTTGAAAATAAGGAAAAATATTTATCTGACGACAACGTGCGAATGGCTAGTGATGGTATCTTGTCGGCGTCCTTTCACTTGAATTAAATTCTGATAAGCTCCACCGCTCTGTTGTGAATGCTGTCTTCGTTCAAACCGAACAGTCCCGATGTGCGATGGCGGAATTGTCGGCATTCAGGCAAGCGATGTGTGCTGCTCCGCAAGCTGCGGGTCTTGCGGAGGTTCCGGGTGCACTAGCAGAGACGGTGGATCGGAATCCTGCTGTGGTGGCGGAGTCAGGGCTTCCGGTCGATACTGCTCCATTACGGGAGAAGCACCCTGCTTGGCCAGTGAGTCAATAGGAAAGTTCGAGGGTTGTTCGGGCGTCACAATGAACAACTCACACCCCCGGTGTTGGTATCGTTAGTTTGCTCCCACACGTTGGCCTCTCGGGGACTGGGATTTTCTACATGTTGAAAAGGCAGTTATGTTGCGTGGTTCTAACTACATCTACATACGGGAACAACCAAGGAGCGTGACACGGATCATGCTACATACAAATATGCAGAATGGTCGATGTCGTGACATATTTCTTACTTTTAGTATGAAAAGAAAAAAAGGCTGGCCTTAATTTGTGTTTGAACAACAGTTTGGACCAGACACCGGAAAAGGTTCACATTCCGCGGGGGCCGATCCTGCACCCTCCTGTGTCTCTCGCTCGTCGCGAACGTCTTCACGTCTTGACGTCTTTATTCGTCTCGATACACCGCTATCTTGTACTCTTTTGTGCTTCCTTCTTTCACTCCTAACTTCCCCTAAACCCTCACCGTTAGTCATCCCGGTGTTGTCACCCGCCCCATTGGGGGTCGGGGGGGCGGTCCTTTGCCCGAGTTCGTGAAACGGATAGCCACAGCAGGAATCACGGGTTTCCCCACAAAAACCCGTTAGAAAAACACGCTTAGCCTGCTTCCCGGGGAAAAAGTGACGGAAAAAATAACACCCCGGTGGACGGGCGGCTCGACTTGTGCCTGTTGAGGAGAACCAACGGTTTCTCAATGACGGTGCCTTTGAACCACTCCATGATGTCGACTCGTCTGCGCCACTCGATGGAGATGAAATGCGTTCTCTGGCACGTTCTCGCCTCGCCTACGCTGCAGACGCGGGGATGAACGAGTGGGAGGCGACATGGTCAAACCCCTCGACAAAGGTGACGAGGCGTCACTGCTGACTTCCTGCGTACCTCTTGCACGTGCACGTGAGGTAGGGACCACGACTACGACCAGGCTGGAGCTGGTGCCGGAGTCGCTCTCGTCTCCGGTCGCACTGCTGTCCATGCAACCACTCAGGGACGCCCCCTCCTCCTTCTCCTCCTGCCCACTCACAGACGGCCGGGCTTTTGCCGCCTGGGCTCCTGCCGCCTCGCGCTGAGTCGCGATCCTCTCCCCTCCTCCAGAGGACCTCCTACCTCGATCAAAGATGATCAAGTTCAGAAAAAAACGCAAGCTGCTTTTCCGCCGCACGCGGGCACCAAGAACCTTCTCGCGCGCCCGAATACTGACCCAACAACTGCACACACGTTGCTGTGAAAGAAACCCCAGTCTCCGCTGCTCAGCCTTCTGCGCAGGGAGCGCTTGATTGCGTGTGCTCGTACGTGCCGCTTCGTCCCGTCCTCGACGGAAAAAGTTGCCGGCGTATTTCTTCCGGCCAAATAAAACTTAAAAACCTCAACAAATAACCCGGTGAATTTTTCCGTCGGGACCCGGCTTAGACGGAAAAAAATCGCTCAACCGGAAAAAATCGGCCCAAAAGAAAAAGTTGGCAGACGGGGAAACCCGGGAATATTAAAAATTTCAGCGAACCAGCTGGAACGGATTGTTGTCGTGGAACACTATCCAACACTTCGAAACCTCTCCCAATTTGTCAGGCCCGGCCCCTACGCCGGAACCTACGCCGGCCCCTACCCCTGCTCCGACACCTGAAAGTAAGTCGTACTCCCTTGTCGGTTTGTGTGAAAACGTACAGGAAACCTTCAGCATTGCACGCACACCTGGAAAGTAGTGTCCACTGTAAGCGTCGTGTTCTTCGTGGCTCCTCGAAACTGCACGTGGTTTGGGCGACAGCTCGATGTCCTAAGTTTGAGAATGAAACAGTAATTGACTGACCCGGGTTTTGAGTGCCCCATCATTGCCCGTCTAAGAATGATGCCTGTCGTGCCTATTCGAGACTTTTCTGATTAAGGTCGGCGCTTTTTGGGTTGCATCTGGAGGAGACAACCGTTGTTTTTTTGCCCCGACGTCTCTGACCGTCCTGTCTCGAATCTGTGAGCTTGCTTTGCTTGACTGACTGACTCTGAACATTGAATATTACTATATTTTTCCGAACATAGGCTTCAAGCTGGAAAAACCCACCCAAACACGCCGGGTCGCGAGTAGTGCGTAACTGAGTAATAGGGACGTCTGATCGGCGTTTTCTCACTTGATCCTCATTTCTGAGGCGGCTGTGTGTCGAATGCTGTCTTCGTCCAAACCGAACAGTCCCGATGTGCGACGGCGATATTGTCGGCATCCAGTCAAGCGATGTGTGCTGCTCCGCAAGCTGCGGGTCTTGCGGAGGTTCTGGGTGCACTGGCAGGGACGGTGGATCGGAATCCTGCTGTGGTGGCGGAGTCAGGGCTTCCGGTCGGTACTGCTCCATTACGGGAGAAGCGCCTTGCATGACCGGTGAGTCAGTAGGAACGTTCGACGCTTGTTTGCACTTGCAGACATCTTCATTAGAGTTTGCTTCTCCGACGTTTGTCCCTTTTACTGCATATGAATACATGCTATCTGTTGTCCGTCTACTCCGTCTTCGAGAGGTTTATACCAAATAGTTGATGCTTGATTCACATGCTGGAGATAAAAACCAACATTATTGCTCCGAAGAGTAACAGCCGGAAGCCACAACTGGATAAAATATCATTGGCAGTAACCGTAACTGTCCTTTGTCGAGACCAATTCTCTGCTTCCATCCACATCTTGACACAACAGTGTAATACCCCGAGCTACCAACAAGCATCAGTGAAAACAAAGTCAAATTTCTACAGTATTGCATCAACCTTCTCAGGCCAACGTCATGTTGCATGTTGAAACACTGCATTTAATGGAACGAAAACTTCCTTACTAAATAAAACAGGCGCGGCCCCTACGCCGGCCCCTACGCCAGCCCCTACGCCACCTCCTACAGTTGAAGGTAAGCGGTGCTCCGTTGATGGGTTGCCTTCAAAAGGACAGTAACCGTCAGCATCCCATGTATATGTTGGTGTCGTGATATATTGATGATTTTCGTGATATAATACCTGGTAGTGGTCAGATCATCAGTAGACCGACAGTCTTCAGGTACCTCATATAGCTGTGGCGCCTATCGCGCCTATTCCGAATGATTTCGGTGTATTCTTAAGTCAGCGCATGTTGTGAACAGCGGGGCACGTAACGACCTTTTGGCTGATGCGCACGTTGCCCCGACGTTTCGCACTGGCACGTTTTGGATACCTTGAGTGCTTTTTCTTGACTATCATATCATATCTCTAAATGATTGCTACCACCGAAAGGCGCGAAATCATTCTAGGGAAACAGCACCCCCACGATTACGCCATTACCCAGTGAGCGTCAAAATGTCGTCTTGGTATGTGTTGTCTCGCTAGAACTCTCCTCTACCAAGCAACACCGCTGCTTTTTTTTATCCTAAACGAACAGTTCCGAAATGCGACGGAGGGATTGTCGGTATTCAGGCGAGCGATGTTTGCTGTTCCTTAAGCTGCGGGTCTTGCGGAGGTTCTGGGTGCACTCTCAGGGACGGTGGATCGGAATCCTGCTGTGGAGGTGGAGTCAGGGCCTCCGGTCGTGATTGCTCTGAAACGGGAGAAGCACCCTGCGTTGTGACAAGTAAGCTGACTCAAGTGAAAATTTATATGTGCATGCGGATAACTATCGAACGCACACTCTTGGAAATACTAACTGTCGAGGCAGCAGCTAGTGTTCCTCGGAGTTTGGCCCCTGTAAAACTGCATCTCACTCGATCTGGTGGAGGCATGTTGAGCGATTGATAACTGAGGTACGTTCCAACACGCGTACTATGCATGCGGAAAGCGGAAACGGCCGGCCACACGCCGGACATCAGGTTCATCGTTAGCAGGACTTGTACCGTGCAGCTGCCACTCTTTTCTTTCAGGCACCAGTTGATGAACCAGTGTGAGACCTCCACGTGAGCAAGACTCAAGATAGGAAATCAAACAGCTCTCTACTTGCTTCAGCGTATTTAGTCGACCGTCCTCTTCTAGAAACACCGCACCACAAGATAATTACGCACGAACGCTCAATTCTTCGGAACAGGCCCCGCCACGACGCCTGCGCCTACGACCGTCACGAATTCACCGGCTACTACCCCGGCGCCTACAACGGTCACGCCGTCGACAGTCGAGCCTTCGCCGGCCCCTACCGTGGCCACAAGTGGAGGTGGTCCTATAACGCCCTCCCCGCTGACCCCTACACCGGTCACGCCGGCCCCTACCGTGGCCACAAGTCAAGGTAGTCCGACGCCCCCCCCACCGACCCCTACACCGGTCACGCCGGCCCCTACCGTGGCCACAAGTCAAGGTAGTCCGACGCCCCCCCCACCGACCCCTACACCGGTCACGCCGGCCCCTACCGTGGCCACAAGTCAAGGTAGTCCGACGCCCCCCCCACCGACCCCTACACCGGTCACGCCGGCCCCTACCGTGGCCACAAGTCAAGGTAGTCCGACGCCCCCCCCACCGACCCCTACACCGGTCACGCCGGCCCCTACCGTGACCGGGGGAACGCCGACCCCTACGGCTGTAGGTGGTACTACGCGGGCCCCCATCGGAGGTCGTGGAGGCCGTGGTACGCCGGCCCCTACCATGACCGGGGCAACGCCTTGAGGTGGTACTACGCCTGCCCCCATCGGAGGTCGTTGAGGTCAGTAATATTGATCAATTGTGGCCTTGCGAAATCGACTAGAAGCAACCTAGTCGCAAAGATATCTCTTAACAGTGGTAGCGCCCACGTCACACGACGTCCTTCTCCTTAATCTCGAAATCGTGCCGCAGCTTTAATGTTCAAATAATACCAAAGATTATGGCTGAGACGGTGCGGAACATCCCGTCGACGACTTTTCATCTTGTGTGCCATGGATTGGTGTATGGTTTGGTTCAATTGTAGTCCAGCGCACATTTTTCACTCCGTAGGCATTTCGACACCCGAATGATCCGCGATTGCCTCCACTCTTCGCACTGTCCATACAGGCCTACTACGCGTTCAACACCCCAGGTTAAATGGATGCAGGGAGACCACTTTATACCTCCGATTTACCTGGCACAATGTGAAGCCTGCCAGGTTGTGCAACGTGTACCTCTGTTGGAGGTTAAACGTAGGAACTGGTTAGGGAGCAGGTCGATGATGGTATCTAGTGGAAGGTGTATCCTATGTTAAGAATGGGCGGGAGCTCTACGTTCTGTTCGGAATATATATGCGATCGTACATAAAATCTGATACATACGTTGGCCACAGGGAAGTACCAAGGGATAGGGTCACGGTTACCTAGTAGTCAAGACGCGCAGTGGGGCAAGCATGCCTCTGTGTCTGATACTGCTGGAAGAGTAGAGCTAACCCTAAGCTTCATTCTGAAGACAACACTTATTGTTGGCATTCGTCATTTCAGCAGCTGTTTGTCTGAGTATCACAGATTGCTGAATTTCTCCACGTACCAAAGTACGTTGCTTGATTTGCTTTTTGATACCTCTCGACTAGATGTTGCAGAGGAAATAGAATCGGTAAACCTTAGGTCGAGTGCGCGAGTACGTGTTGTTTTCGCACGAAAAGACCTTAGTCGGATCTGTTCACGAGGGGTTTGGTCATCTGGTTGGTATGACATTTTGGGACGCAACTTCAACTGGGTTACGGTGGGCATCCTTTGCTTGGAATCGTGCAGCCCCTCCATCTTACCACTCTGTTTTCCTTCTGGTCTCACCGACGAAATAACTACGTTTTTCTATCCTGCTTTTCCCTTGGGAAGTCGGCACGATCTCTCACGGAGGTCGAGTGCCACGAGTTGCGCAAGCTGTGTCGCTACGCACCACGTGTGCGTATACGGTGTGCTCCAAGTTCCGATGAAAAGATCGCACCCCATCTTTCATGTAGTACGTTGGACTCCACTCGGTTTCATATTTGAATTATTTTCACGTCCTACGCACGGCTGCATTCGCAGTCCCATTGTTTTGCATTCACAGGTGGCCAGTGGGCAAGGTTGTGTGGGGGCCTTGTGTAACCTCCGGCCAACGAGGGGTTATTATATGGCAGAACCCGGGGGGATACAGGCCGAGCGGGCATAACGTGCCAGGGTTTTTATAACACTGGCACGACCGCGGTCGATTAGGCAGCGCCTCGGGCAAACCGTCAGCGATATGACCGGTTGGCGGCCTAAATTTCGCACGTTGTAGCCGACCGCTATGGTTGGGTCGCGGGTTGCCGGATCAGCGGGGGACGAGCCCAACAAGAGCAATGGATTGGTGTAATATAATATAATTTTCATTGCCGAATTTGACGAGGAACGCACAACCTCTACTCCGCTACAATACAGTGTAACGTTTTCATGACGGTTACGCACCAAAATATAGGTGGTCAGACGAGCCCAAGCAATCATCATATTGTCCAAAGCACCCTTTGGATTTTCCCCCCACAATGTATACCCTTCGCTTCGACCCCACGGGCGTGACTTCCTCAGCAACAAGTCTCTCTGTATTGGGCCGAAATTCCAAGCCACAGTTACTGTATTCAACAATATACTTTCATACCCCCGTGCACACTTACGCCTCGTTCAAGGGCTCTACCCAGCGAGTCAGGTCGAGAACAAAACCAGTACTTCCGCAGACATCCACTTCGACCAGATTCTGAAGGACCTTCTTTGCTTTCAACCTTGAAGTTACCGTTCCTTCCACGACCACTTCTTCCCATAGCCACGCCCGGCAGCAGACATGACGCAACCCCGCCCAAATCAACTTGCAAGAAAAAATGTGACGTCCACAGCCTACGTTGGTGTCATACAAGTACATCCTTAATGAATCGGAGTGACAGAGACGCGCGCTACCTCTCCACCACTAGGGACAGAAGGACCCACCGCCAACGAGAGCGTTCGTGTTCTCGAAGAAGCGTAGCGCCGTTGGTTCGCGGCGGTTTCACATTACCACTACACACCCACTTACGAAGCCATCCCGGGGCTGCCACCGCGCTCCTGCATCGCACAGAAGAATGATAGGAAAGAAACGAACAAAAAGCGTCACGGAAAGGGTCGTGAGAACGAGGTAAAAGATCACCGAAATCAGCTCTGTCGTAGGCCCGGGTAGCCAATTACTTTTCTTGTGAATCCACACTTTCCGGGAACTACACCAAAAAGTACGGGGGGGAGGGAGGGCGGGTACTCATAGTCGTGCATACCGTAGTTAGACCATTGAACTCACCGAGGGGGGGGGGCGCGGG